CTGCACTGTCTCCTTGACATCGCTGCCCCACATCTGGAACCGCTGGTTGTTGACCACAACAAACATCTCCACATACTTGGTGTGTGACCACAAGTAGGACAGGGCCTGTAGATTGGGAGGCTTCCTGCTCCCCTGCTGCCAGCTGGTGGACACCGCTTGACTGTCTCTGGCAGAGACACTGCAGGAGACTCGAGCTTGATGTGCCGTGGTGTATAACGCATGTTCGAACTGTTTGGAAGAGAGTATGGGCTCAATGCCATAGGATGTGTTCTCCTTGATCAGGATGCCCCTGAGACCTGAACAGGTATTGACAGACACAAATGAACCTGGCGCTCCTTCTATGTGGCCTTCATAGTGACAGTCATGTGAGATGGAAGGTGTTTCTTGCTCCAGGATGCCATTGTGGTAACTATAGACTGGAAAATCCTCCACAAAATAGTCTCTCTTTACCTTCAGGTGAACCAGCTGCTGCTGGCCTTGCATAAGTAGCGTATAAGATATCTTTTCCCCTGGGGCTTCACTTCCCTTGACTGCCAGACTCTTGGGGATGACTATTTCATAGGAAGAGTAATGTCCTGGTCCCAGGTGACAGTGGATACTTGGGAGAAGAGCTATCCCAGAGAGCAACATGGTCACCAGCCTGACACCTGAATGTCCTGGCACTAGCCCCAGCCTGAGGGCCACCATCAGGGCAATCCAAGTCTGAAACAGACGCCTAGCCACATACAAAACCACCTGGGCTTTCTGTAGAGAAAATGAGAAGGACATAGCGTTTCTCACTGAGGCCATCGCTGATGTGCTTCTCGTGAATCCGTTGACGCTGTGGAGTCTATATGTCCATCAGCGCCAGCTCTTCCCAACACTCAGACCCTCAGACACACGTATTAATCCCAGATCTATACTGGTTACATACACAGCAGTTACTTCCCACCTCTGAAAGATTAGCTTTCTGGCTGGGCCTCATGCTAGTCTGTCTGATCTTTCTGAGCTCTTTCAGTTTCCATTCTTGGGGACTTCCTCTTTCGGCAGCAGTTCCAGTGTTCCTTAGCTAGGCTCCTCGTGGTATGAGGGAAGGATGTGTCATGAAGGACTGTGAACTCTGTAATGCAGGAATGTGCCTCGTTAAAGGATTGAAAACCTCTCTCCCTTCCTCAACAGGCCACGGGGCACGCCCTTCTGCCCCTCCTATTGTCAGTTGCCCCTCCCCCATCCCACCTGTAGTCAGTTGGCTCAGCTAACTTCAGATATTGACTCCAGACTAGAGACTTGGAGACATCTTTGGTGGGCATACTCCATTGCCTCCCTTTTGTCTTTTAAAACCCTTGCTCTGTAGCACTTGAACATCCTAACTCAGGGCGATCTTTTCCACTCAGTGAGGCATTAGATACACACATCTCCAAGACCAGTCTGTTAGATTTGGGTAGTGAAGGGCTTGCTCTGTGCCCAACACAGACAGAAGCAGAGAGAGAGAGAGAGAG